GCCACCTTAGGTGTACGCGGCTGGCGCCTTAGCCGGTTGAGCTATAGGCGCCGAGCCTAAATAGAACATTTTAAAACAGGTTTGATGGCTCGGCTCCTGTGGCTCAAGTGGCTAAGGCGCCAGCCACATACACCTAAGGTGTCGGGTTCAAATCCAGCCCAGGCCCGTCAAAACAACAATGACAGCTGCAACCAAAAAATAGCCAGGCATTGTGGCAGGCCCCTGTGGTCCCAGCTACTAGGGAGGCTGAGGCAAGAGAATCATTTAAGACAGCGGTTCTCAACCTATGGGTCACCACCCACAGGAACTGTATTAAAGGGCCACGGCATTGGGAAGGAAGGTTAAGAACCACTGACTTAAGCCCAAGAGTTTGAGGTTACTGTGAGTTATGATGTCTGAGCATTCCACCGAGGGTGACAAAGTTACTCTGTCTAAAAAAACAAACAAACAGGTATGAGTGCCGTTGAAGAGAAAAACCTTAAATTCAAGAGTTATGACACCTGGAAAACCTGCAGAGGCTGTTACAGTGCTAAAGCATGAACGGTATTTGTCACTCAATCCTGCTTCGCTTCCCGCAGAAATCCCAGTGTTAGCCAAAATCTTTCTGTCTAATTGGTCTGTTATTTTTTTCTACTGTCACATTTACTACTGAGGAGTAAATTTCCACAAATGAACGAAAGACAGGTGTTCTCTAATTTTTTTTCACTGACTTTTTTTACTTTAAGAGGAGAGTGTGACGATTCCTAATTTAAGATAAAAAGTGGAAATCAACCTTTTTATGATATTCCTTTTAAACAGATAGTTGTCAAGTTTTCCCTGAAACCGACGAGCGAAAACCGTCAAGATATTGTGGTTTCCATTTCATTGCTTACTCTCTTGGGCGGGAGTTCGGTTACGTTCCGATCTTCAGAAACTGCCCTCCTTTTAGTGACTCATGACAAGGCACTTATATGGACAGGGGTTAGGAGGCCGAAAAGAATCGGAAAGAGATTAGGGAGGGTCGGAACCCTGACTTTAAGAGGCATGGCTAAGAAGTCCCTCAAAGAAGCCCAAGAAGGCTCCTGGAGACCGGGGAAGGGTGGGAAAGGAGGGCTGTTTCTCTGAGGCACAGTCCATACTCCCCGCAGAAAAAAGCTGGCGCGGAAGCGGGGTTCAAATCATCCGGGTAGGGACAAGCGCAGAAAGAAACCAAGGGAGGGGTGAAAGTCGGGAGGGAAACCCAGCCACTGCGGAGAAAGACAGGGCGAGAGAGGGGAAGGGACCGGGTGGCGGGACAGGCCTGACTGCCTCCCCCACAGGCCGCGGCCGGTAAATCTGCTGCCTCATCCCGGCGTCCACGCTCCCGCCCGGCCACCGCACTCACGATGCTCTCGGCCATGGCGACCGCTCCTGCCTCCGGACTCAAGCCCCGGGCCGCCGCCGCCTGACGCCCCAAGGGCCTCGCAGCCCCGGCCCCGGCCTCAGCCGCGGCCTCCCCCCGCCGCCGCCACCGCCGCTCCAGCTTCGCCCGCTCGGCTCAGCCAGCCGCCGACGTCCAGGTGCACGCTCAACACATTCCCCCGGACGCGCAGCCCGGAAATCAAGTTCCGACTTCGCGACGACCCCGCGCAGGCGTGCAGCTGAGCCGCTTGCTTGGCGCCTGCGCGGCGGTGCTCCGGAAGGGGGGAGGGGCGAGGGGCCGGAAGAAGGCGGAGAGAAGGCGTTAATGCTCCCAGTGGACAACCCGAGAGAGGCTGCAAGGTCCGAAGCAGTCGCAAAGACAAGCACATGGAATCTCTGACGACTACCTGTTTAAAAGGAATATCTTGACAAAGATTGATTTTCTTTTTTATGAAACAATCTGTCACCAGGGTAGCGTGCTCTGGAGTCACAGCTCACAGCAACCTCAAACTCTTGGGCTTAAGTGATCCCACTGCCTTAGCCTCCTGAGTAGCTGGGACTACAGGTGCCTGCCAGATAAAAATTGGAAATCAACCTTTTGTATGATATTCCTTTAAACAGATAGTTGTCAAGTTGGAGACCAACCTAAGCCAGAGTAGACCACCTAGCTAATTTTTCTTTCTTTCTTTCTTTTTTTTTTTTTTTTTTTTTTGAGACGGAGCCTCAAGCTATCCCCCTGGGTAGAGCGCTCTGGCATCACAGCTCACAGCAATCTCCAACTCCTGGGTTCGAACCCGCCACCTTAGGTGTATGTGGCTGGCACTTTAGCCACTTGAGCCACCAGTGCCGAGCCTTAATTTTTCTATTTTTAGTAGAGACAGGGTCTCGCCATTGCTCAGACTGGTCTTGAACTTGTGCTGTTTTTTTTTGGTTTGTTTTTTCTTTTGCAGTTTTGGCCAGGCCGGGCTTGAACCTGCCACCTCCACTATATGGGGCCGGTGCTGGTCTTGAACTTGTGAGCTCACGAGATCCTCTGGCCTTAGCCTCCTAGAGTGCTGAGATTACAGATGTGAGCCAACACACCCAGTGAGAAAAAAGAATTCTTAGAGATAACAAGTTAAGCCACAAGTGTTTTATTTCTTATTTATTTATTTATTTATTTATTTTGAGACATGGTCCCACTAAGTGGCCCTTGGTAGAGCACCATGGTGTCACAGCTCACGGCAACCTCAAACTCTTGGGCACAAGCCACAGCGCTTGGCTATTTTGGTTATTGTTGTAGACTCGTTGTTATTTGGCAGACCTGGGCCAGGTTCAAACCCACAAGCCCTGGTGTATGTGGCTACCACCCTACCTGCTAAGCTACAGGTGCCAAGCTGAGTGTTTTAATTAAACAAAACAAAGGGGGTAGTTGTGTTGTGAGTTTTCTCTTCAGAGGGCAATCGTGTGCTGTGAGTTTATTTCTTTTACCTTCTGTTTGGTATTTATTTTCCTCTATTAGACAGATTATTAGTAAAGCCACATTTCAAACCCCCTCAACACTCTTTATGTTACTGATCTTACTTTATAAGGCTTATTGCCACTTAACATACCATTTGCTTATCTATTACATTTATTTGTTTTGTGCCATCTCCCTGTACTAGAATGACAAAGACTTGTTGGTTTCTTTCACTACTGTACTACCAGGGGTCTGAACAACCCCTGATATATAACAAATCCTAATATCAATTATCTATTGTCACAATAATGCTATGTAGGGACTGGGCGTGGGGGCTTATGCCTGTAATCCCAGCACTTGGGAGGCCAAGGCAGGTGGATTACTTGAGCTCTCAAGTTGGAGATCAGCCTGAGCCAGAGCGATACCCCGTCTCTACGAAATAGCCAGGTGTGGCTTCCGGTGTCTCCTACAACCATGGCTGCTGCCGCTGTTCCCTCGGGCCTGGGGAGCCCTCATCTCCGGATGAATTGCTCCCAAAAGGTGACATAGAGAAGACTGAAGAAGAGCTGGGAGAGGACGACGACGATGAGCTAGATGACACCCTGTCGGAGAGACTATGGGGTCTGACGGAGATGTTCCCAGAGAGGGTCCGTTCCACGGCCGGAGCCACTTTTGATCTCTCCCTCTTTGTGGCTCAAAAAATGTACAGGTTTTCCAGGGCAGCCTTATGGATTGGGACCACTTCCTTTATGATCCTATGATCCTGGTTCTTCCTGTTGTCTTTGAGACTGAGAAGTTGCAAACGGAGCAACAGCAACAACTGCAGCAGTGGCAGATACTTCCAGGGCCTAACACAGGGCTGTCTGGAGGAATGCCAGGAGCTCTACCTTCACTTCCTGGGAAGATCTAGATTATTACTACTATGTTGGTGGGAGAAATTCATAATTCAA